GGTAGAGCATGGGAAGCTGAAAAGTCCTTGACTAGTGTAAGCACTACTCAGCAACAACTACAACATCGGTGTGTTATCAACATTGTTCTCACCCTAAATCCAAAACACAGCACTATACCAGCTACTAGGAAGAAAATTAACTCTATCCCAGTCAAAACCAGGACAGGGAGCAAGAATATGAGATTTTGTGGAAAGCACTAAACAGTCCAGTCATGTCACCTGAAGGTGACAAACCTGAGAATAATTGAGGCCAGATCTTTCTGGCCTTTTCAGCTTTTACCAGACCTATATTTATGTGCTTCTCTCTATGTAACAAGTCTCTCTGAAAAACAGGTTAAGACCTTAGGTAATAGCAAAACAAAGACACTTTGGCAACAACAAAGCTTCTAAAAAGCCCCGCATGGAGCAAAATTAGCTTGTCATAAGTGTGGGTACAGTGACCCTTGTACTTCTAGTATTAGGCTACTTGAAAATGGTTTGTTAACAGAGAAAACTGTCCTTGGATGTGTTATTTCACAATAATTTTTGATAACTGGTTGATTAAATTTACGCCAAGATAAAGGGAAACCCTGTTAACTTCAGATTAGTTCTTGTTTTGCTTTTATTTAGTTTACAGCACTGTAGTTAGACTGTACTGATAATAGCATTGTTTGTCGACGTTGATTTTTGAATTGGATGCCAATGAGCAGGTCAGAGCTGGGAATTTATTTAAAACATCTGGATCACTAATTTGTTTTAAAGTGAGACCTATTTTCACATACACAAGCATCTAAAAATACAGTAGTTTCTTTTCACTTTGGGCAAATCCCTTGTGAAGTATTGTTCCTGCCTGTCATGCAGCATTGTCATTGTTTATGCAATTCAAGCTAATTTTTTTTTTAAGATCAGTTTTGATTCTTAAGCATTTAGTCCTTGCTTGCCAATTGAGAATACCAGCACATATAACATGGTCTGGATTTCGTGCACTTCTCAGTTACGTGGCTTTTCAAAATAAAAAAAAGTTTTCTTGGACGTGGGTTACATCAGGCAGTGGATGTATATGCACCTCACATGTGATACTCTCCATTGCAGAGGCTCATAGGAGTCTTAAGGAAAATTCTAATTTGTTGGTGTGAGGTTAGTGTGTTTCAAACCAGTTTAAATAGTTCTGATTTTTTTTTCCATTTTTTTCTTTTGAGAGCTAGCTTTGAATGTTTTGGTGAGGGGCAAAGAGGTACTGTTGCACTCTGAGAAACTTTTTTCTGACCTTGATCATCTTTTGATCATTCAAATCTCAGTTTCTTTTGGAATGGAGAAAAAGGACCATCATCATTGATTTCAATAACTTTTGGCGGGTACAGTGGATAATACATCTGTAAATCATTTGTCGTAACAAATAACTAATGTATAAAACACCCAGAAGCTAAGCCAGAGTAAAGGTGCAAGAGTCTTGCTTTTGTATGTGAGGCAAAAATGACAGTCTTCTGTTATGATAGGTAAACTATGGGTGCATCTGGTTAACTGTGATATTAAGTGATCCCTTTGTATCCAAATAATTGAAGGGGGTTTGTCAGTACATCTTTAGTCACAGTTAAATTTTGTTCAGTTTCTTCTTCAAATCTTAAAGACTAACTTTAACCAGGGAAGTATCTTATTCACTTAGAATGTAATTAATTAACTTGAAACATCCCCTCCTTCTTCAAGGTTACACCAAGACATTAAACTTTCTGCCTTACAAATGTATTTTTCTATCACAAGCACAAACTCAGTAGCAGACAGCTTTCCCTGATGGTTCTGTTGGGTGCAATAACAAAGAGTAAGCATGGGGATTTTTTCTTTTTTTTTTTCCCTCGGCTGGAGGTTTGTCTGCAATTTATCTGTTTGTTTACTTTTATGTTTTGAACTTACATGAAACTTTCAACTCTTGGGGGAAATAGTGTTTTACTTTGAACCTTCAAGGTGTTTGTGTTGATTTGGTGCATTTTTCTTCATGCAGTTCTTTTTTGTGTGGCTTTTTCTCTGAATTGTGATTCAGGAGACAAATTGACTCTTTTTTTTACTTTTTATTTTTTTAAACTAGGTTTGGGCAGAGCATATGCTCTGGCTTTTGCTGAAAGAGGAGCTTCAGTAGTTGGTAAGTTTTATGTTAACTAATTTGATCTATACAATAGCCTTTGCCTTTTCACGTGGCTTGCATTCAACTGTCCATGCCCTTTTTGACAGTAACCTTTGTTATTTAATGGTTTTCTGTCTTATCTTTTGCTGTTTAAATTTTGCTTCTAAGCTTTATTTTCTTATGAAACAAGTTGCCCAAGTTTGTCCAAGGGCTTATCTTTGCTGGAAAGCCAATTTCAATCAGATCGTTTCCCGGACTTGACTTTCATCCATGCATACCAACCTTTACCGTGAGTTGTGGCCAGAGAGGGTATTGTCTTAGGTGAATACTGTTCAGAAACTTTTAATAAGACCATTTGAAAATGTGAATATGTATCTTCTAGTACCTTCTCACAGGAAAGATGTTATTGGAATGTAATGCAGTATCAGTAGCTCCCTAGAAAACACAGAATGTGCTGAAAGTGCACTGCATTGTTTCTTTCTGCAGCGTGTTGCACAGAAGAGCCATCTGGTCTCCATGACAGTGCCAAATAGCTCTCAGTAAAGGATTTCTGATAGTGTAGTCATTTGGTTGAACCTTCTTCAGGGAATATTTAGTTGTGCAAAATGCTGTATCACAAGCTAATTCTGAAGGTTAAGTTACATTCTTGGGCACTTTCTGGCAGTTGGCATAGCCATTTGACTGTGAATGAATTTGTACAGGTATTGTTGATGAGTTCAAGGTTAAATGTTTAAACAGATTATGGACAAGAACTTGCTCACTGATTTTAGTAGCTTTCTAATAAAAATCCCAATCTCAGTTTACAAAATTTCATTCAAATTGTTTGGTTTTACTTTATTGATAAAATGTGAGAAGTCTGTGTGTAGACAACTTAAAAAAATCTAGGTATTTTTTTCTAGTAGTTGCCACCTTTGATACCTTATTTACTAGGAACGTGAATACGTCATCTCAAGTTCTTATTTAACAAAAATTAGGTTACTAAAGCAGCCCAAATGTTTAATTGTATTGATTCTGTGTAGCTAGCGGTGTTCTGACTTTCCAGAAAGATCTGAAAGAAAATGTATTATATTGCCTGACCATAGCTAATACTCCTTTATCTCATGGCCTTACTGCACAATGGCTGAATCAGTAACTTAAGAATTGACCGTGTCTGAGGGAAACTTCTTATTTCCCTTTGGAAACTGCACCTCACTTCACCTCTTATAGTAGTGCTTTGCAATTACCTCTACATGCTTGTATTTATTTTTCTTACTCTTGTTCTCTTATGATTCTGACTTCAAGGAGTTGAGAAGTTACTTGTGTAAAGACTTGAGTTTTTTTCAACTAAAGCAGATATGAGACTCATGTCTGTTTAAATCAAGTTTCCTTTTTTAAGTTACGGAAATGAAGGTATGTTGTAAGAACAATAATCAAGTACTCTCGTTGGAGGAATACCAGTGGGCCCCAACATGGGAGCTTTTTCTGTCCAGTCCCACATCTCTCTCTGTGTACAACCTTCTGTTCAGTGAGTTGCTGATGGCATGGTTAGACTGACCAGTGCGACCCGAGTGGAACTCGCCCTTTTCTTGTCATCCAAAGGCTGCCTGCTACCACCTTTTTTGTCATGCTTCATCTCTTTCATGCTTCTCGTCAGAAAAAAGTTGAAAGCAGGAGGAAAGGAATGCTTTGTTTTTGTCTTGTGACCTGTATTATGTCCAGGCCCTACTGTTTCTTCCTTTTCAGTCTACCTGAGGGCTCTTCTGTGTTGCTGTTTTAGTTTAGATTAGAGTCACGCTTTTGAAGCATCTCTCCTGATTTGTATCTATTTGTATTTTTGTTTGCGTTGTGGGATGGTATTGAAGTGCATGTGTGGAGTTCCTTTGAAAACCAAACTGGAAGATGCAATTTAGCAGTGCACCTAAATTATTCCAAATGTGTGTTTGGTTTGTGGCACCAGACTACAGCAAGAAATAAGCTGGTTTATTTTTTAAAAAACATGTACTGTAGATGTCAGGTCCTCAGCACCAACTGTTTCACTCTACAGATTTGCTTCTGCTGCTCTGTACTACTTGCTAATAATGCACTTGTAGCTTTAGAGCAATTCTTCTCTATGATTCAGACTATAACCATGCTCTGTCACAACTGCTACAGTCTCTGGCTCTTTTCTACTGGATGTTTTCAACTGGAAATTATATGATGTAAAGCTTGAGCTTAAAATAATGTTATTTATCCTTTTTTTTTTTTCCCCTCCAAATTACTCTATCACACTCATGGAGTTATTTTATCATTTTCAAAGCCTGGAATAGCTCTATTCTTTCTTGTGTACTCATTTTTGCTTCAACTCTGTTAGTGCCTGCACTCAGCCTAAGGTGCTTTGGTGCCTCTGGAAATTTTCCCAAATATTTGATTAAGATTTTTTCAGCAAATTACTATTGAAGTGAAGGATAAACATATATAAGCATGTCTTTGGTAGAGAGTTGTAATGTCTTAACAAGACTAACTGAATGTTTTTGTATAAATGTTTACCACAAAATTTTTCACTCTTCTTTCCCAGGACAGATTGGAAATCCTAGTGCTGTTTCTGACTTGCTTTTCTTTAATGTCGTGTTAAAGACCTTTGATGTTGCAGGCTGAGCAGTCTGCCCATGTTGCCTATTCTAATGCTTCACTACACTTGGAAATTTTCCCTAATGCCTCACCTGAATTGTGCTAGCTGCATGTTCGAACTGTTACATATTGATTATTTAGCTTTGTTTCCTTTCTTTTTTGCATGAGTCTGTTAATGTACTTGAGGATATCATCATGTTCTGTTGTAATTCTTTCTGGTTCAGGCTAGACAGTTCATGGTTTTGGTTTGGTTTGTTGTTTCCCCCCCCCCCCCCCCCCCTTCTTTTCATGGCTCACTTCTTCTGGGCTTTGGCATTTTCATTTACTCATTTGGATTTCTGCAGTGTTCCCACACTTCTCTTGAAGTGCTGCACACAAAGTTGAATACAGAATTCAGATGAGACTTTCTTAGTCTGAGTAATAGAGAACGATTTTGTCATGTGTCCTGCAAGCTATGTACCTCTTTACATTGAGAGTGTAAAAAAAAAACAAAACAAAACCCAAAAAAAGGAGGGAAGAAAAAAAAAGGGCACAACATGGATTTATTTCCTTTTGTGATGATACAGCAGACTTACAGTTGCTGTTTATCATCAAGACCAGCAAGAATATCTTGCATGTTTTGTGGATTTCACTATTGCTGGCTTCTTGAGGACTTTGCAAAAGTTAGAAGTCACAAAGCTGGAGTTCACCGTAGCAGAAGACTATTTAGCAAAATGCCAGTGTTGCATGCAAATCCACAGTCTATTCTGGTTTTCTTACAGTTTCATTTTGCACCCATTTAAACGTAATTCTTACAATTTTTTGAAATTCTTTGTCCAAATATAATGTGTGGATTTTTTTGGGGTGTTTTTGTTCCCCTGATGAATTCCGTGAAACTTTGGTACATGCAAATACAGCAATGCAGCAAACAGTGGTGATGATATGGTGCAGCTACCATTAATGATGCGTGCCCCAGTACAGAGAGCAGCCTGGAAACAAAGCAGCTGCCTGTGTCAGGTGGCCCTCTTATCCCACAGGAACAGAATCCGAAGCTCCAGAGCTTCTCCCTTTGTTCAGACTGCTTGATCTGTTCTATAGTGAAGTTTACTAGTAACATTTTAGCTACTGTATTAAACAGGAACAAAGTCTTCTCAGTCTTGTTTACGGTTCATGCGGTAGCTATAGCAGTTTGACAAGAGACCAGAATTAATCACCTGTGATTGGTATGTAATCTTGATCTTAATCTCTGAACTACAATAACACAATTAGAGAGGTAGCCTGGGCAGAGCAAGCAAGTTGAATGCATGGTGGAGAGAAAAAAAAAAAATGTTCTGTTTCCTATTTAAAAAAATGATACTGTATGTTATACTACTTAAAAAAAAAAAAAAGTGACCAACTGTTCTTCTCTAATCATCTGAGATTCTCAGTAGGATCCAGATGCAGCAGATTTTATTAATACTCCTTACAACTTCCAGCATGATAAGGAGAGACCATGAAGTCTGAGTGCTAACAATGAAAAATTCATTTCTTTGTGATGCACAGTGAATGATCTTGGAGGTGATTTCAAGGGATATGGCAAGAGCTCCTCAGCTGCTGACAAAGTTGTCAACGAAATCAGAGCGAAAGGAGGGAAAGCAGTACCCAATTATGGTATGTAACTTTGCCAGACTAGTTTCATGCTTTATCTATAGGAATAGTGGACCTGTTGAATGAAAAGTTGACACTGCTTAATAAAGGACTACTGCCAGCTTGTCAATACCACATAAATTAAATAGGTGGAATGAAATGTGGATTAGGGAGACAGAGGCATTAAAAGCAAGTGTATAAAGTACTTTTTTAATTAATACTCGTCTAGTAATGCCCTTTTCTTTCATATGCTTTCTTAACATTGAAATACTAAGAAACTGTCCATCTGCAGTTGTCAGAGGCAAAATGGGAATGGATGATTCTTACTTGTTTTGCTTCTTGTTTTTCTTGCAATGGCAAACATTGTGCCATTTAGACTTACTGGGTGGGATTTGCTTTAGGCCACATGCAAATAGTCGCTGAATTTGAATTTATTTTATATTGGGGTTGTACACAATTTATTTTTCTTAGCTCCATGGAGTTAGCTGTTAATATCCTGGAAGTGCAGTGTATCCAGTTCATTTTACTTGAAAATTCATACTTTTTTTCTTATAGATTCAGTGGAAGATGGTGAAAAGCTGGTGAAGACAGCACTCGAGGCTTTTGGGAGGATAGGTACAGTTGCTTAATTCTTTTTGTAACTTGATTGCAGGCACAGAGCCATTAATAAACAGTGCAACTGACAACAAGTGTATGAAATACAGTGTGACAACAGTCGAAGTCACCAACCCTTGATGCCCTTAGTCAGTGAAACCTAAATCAGGGGCTTTCCACTTTACATCTGAATGGGCAACTTTTCTGTCCTTTTTGGTACTTTTTAGCAGAAGTTTAAAGCTCGATCTATGATTCTTATTTTCCTGCCCTTCAGAATTTCGGTACTTCAGTAGTGGTTAACAATTTCTGTCTCAAAGCACAGAGTTCATCAAGTATTATAACTAGCTGCATAAAATTAGGATAAATAATGTTGCTGAAGAGTCAGAGATGCTCTGTGATGTTTTGGAAGCTCTTTTGCCTATGTGAAGATCAAAATGCTTCAACACAAATTGAAAAAAAAAAAAAGCTTGAGGTATTCTATCTAACAAGTAATGTTCCTCTTTACCATATGACTGCCACTGTTTAATTGTGAAGTTTATGTGATTTTAGCTCAAGATTAAGTGGCTAAAGGTACACATGATCAAAGCCAACAGGAATCAAATTAGATATTTGACAAAAAATTGTTATGATCCAGGTTGCTTTAGTGGCTCTGTGACTGTGGTTCTTCCACTTATCATTTGGGCTTTCTGCAACAAAGATGGTGGCACAAACTGCATTATAGGCAGCACTCTGGAATTCAAAGCAAGCTGCAAAACTGCAGGATGGCTGCATCCTGCAGGTATTGTGTTCCCAGGTAGTCAGCACTTCTCAGCTATACCTCTCTGTCAGACTTCATTCGGTTGGCAGGCCGAGACTTGCCTGTACTGAAGTATTTTGTCTTGTCTTAATTATTGTCCAATGGTAGAGTTCCACTATTCGGGACAAGGAGCTATAGAATAGTAGTACGATGTTTGTGTGCAGTGTTCTGTCTATATATATTTTTAGAAGTGGAAGAAAAATAGAAACAAGGTTGTATTTTATCAGTGCGTTCACTTAGTTTCTTTTCCTTTTTTTTTTTTCTTTTTTCCCCCTCAGATATTGTTATAAACAATGCTGGGTGAGTAAACCTGAAGGTTTTTTCCTGTTTGATTGTGGGCTGTCACTTTGTGTAAACACCTGTTCATCTTTTGTTTGTTTTGTTTTGTTCTCCTAATGATGCATTTTAGGATCCTAAGAGACCGTTCATTTGTTCGGATAAGTGATGACGATTGGGGTGAGTTGATAAACTTTAAAATGTACTTTCTGTGTGAAAGATGAAAGGTACATCCCTCCCATTGGTACAAGGAAAAAGAGAAGGCAGGGAAGGGTGTCTATGCCAGATCAGAGAATTACCTTTTGCTCTGAAAGCTTAGTGGTAAGCTGCTTGTATTTAGCTGCCTTGTGTTCAGCTTGCAAACCAGATCTGTGCTGTAATGCATGGTAGGTGTATGAAGTTCCAAAGGGGAAGAAAGGCTCTAGCTACCACTCCAGGTTGCTGAGTGGAATACAAAAAAGAGCCATGTGAAACACACACAATAGTTTTTGTGAGCAGAACACATTCCTAGCACCAGCACTGACTGGCTGAATACTGAAGAGGCTTAAAAGACACAGAACTAACAACGGAGGAAAGCAAGCTGATGTGCCAAGGGACAGAAGAACAGGGGGAACCTTCAGTGAGATGGTAGGTGGTGATAACCCAGTTGAGCAGACTTTTGCAAAGATGGTTTAGCTTCTGTAGTCCTTGTTTGATTGTGCTTAAGTGCAGGAATTTTGAATGCTTGTGAATTCTATACAGGAGAGCACCATCCAAGAGGCAGAAGACATGATTAGTGTATGTTTAGGCAAGCACTTCAAAATCATCTATAAAAAAGAAAAAAAAAAAAAGCCCACAACTTTTTTAGTAACAGTTTGAGAGTCTAAAGAGAGCGCAGTTTTTGTTGTGAAGAAGAAACAAATGGTGTATTTCAACTTGGGAGATGAAATCCTGGAATTATTAAACTGACATTACTTTGTTCCTAGATATAATTCATAGAATTCATTTGAGGGGTTCGTTCCTGGTCACCCGAGCTGCATGGAATCATATGAAAAATCAGAAATTTGGCAGGTAAAAATTAGTCTTTTTTTTTTTTTTTTCTTTTCTTTTCCAGTAGGGTATAACAGACTGATGCATGCCCTGACAGTGAAGGAGGAGTTTTGCATCCTTTTCTTCTACTGTCACTGGGATGAAACAAAATCAGTCCAAATGTGTAAGCCCTTATCCTTTCAGTTCTGCCCCCCTCTCCACCTCCCCAGCCAAATGTTTAAAGGTTTTTTCCATGTATATGCAAGTATCCCAGACAGGAGCTGTAGTGTTACAGAAATACCATTTCTTTTCATGAGGACCGGTTAGAAATATTTGTTACTTGTATGTTATTGCTAGTCCAAGGGATTCTTCTCCTGCTCCTTCTTATTCATATGACAGGTACATGCAGTTCTGCTTGTGGGTCTTGGTTTTTTTTGTTTGGGGTTGGATTCCCCCCCGTCCCCCCTTTGGACAAATGTACTTGTCTTAGAAGTTGTGGGAGTGTTCTTAGTCTATTTTGGTATGTGTTACTGTTAACTGAAAGAGTGCAGTGAATTCAGACCTTTAAGTTTTTTCACTTTTGTTGTTTTTCCTTATCAAAACACTGACATGATTTTATTAATCTTAACAACCATTCCCACATGTTGAAAGCTGTATGAGCTTCTTTGTCATTCTGTGACCAAACTGCATTCATTTTCATCCAGGGAACTGAACTGTAAGGATAAGGGAAGAGATCAGCAGGCAGAATACACAGCTAAAGTCTAGGAGTTGCATCCATTTAGGAAAACGCTTCCCTTGGCTCCTTTTTTGTATTTGCTCAGATAACAATGGTAGTGAGTGCTTCTGCGGTTCACGTATAGATGTGTGCCATCTGCAAAATGCCTGCTTTGTAAAGATTTTGTAGCTTTTTTCGTCTTGATCATATTGAGCCAGTACTTGTAACACATCTCTTTATTTAGATTAAAAACAGTGGATTATTGTCAGTGAGGCAAATAATAATAAAAATGAAATAGATTTTGATCCCAGCTATGCAGTGTGTTTACAGTAGATTGGAACGGATTCTGATAAGGCTTCTTTTAAAACTAAAGGTGTAGACCCTTTTCTTTTGAATTCCAAGTTATAAGAAGACATGCAGCACAATGTTTTCTTGCCTCAAACCCGCTATGAACCGCAGTGGTTTTAGAGCTTTCTTGTGAGCAGTTCAGTCATCTCCACAGCAATAATGTTAGGGGACAGCAAAGGGCAAGAGTTTGCTATCTTCTTCCTTCATGTGTTTAACACGCGTTAGGATTCTTTGAATGTGAATTCTGTAAGAATGCATCTTCGCATATTACTAGGTAGATATTAAGGTGAAGTCATTTTCAATAAAATAATATTCTTCTGACCACTGAAGTAATTTGTTAACTATAAGAATAACGCCACTTGAAGTGCAGTTAGAACATGAAAAGAAAATACTTTTCTCTATATCGTACCCTGTTGTCACAGAATGTCTGTTCTAGTTTTGCAGTATAACTCAGAAAGGCTCATGACTTTGTTAGTTTTCTGCTACTATGACAATGCTTCAGGATTTGTCAGATGTTTGCTATCAATCAAACATAAAAAAGGCATGTGTTTGTTAGCAAAAACAACACATAACATTTTCTTATTTGTACGCTTTTGTTTTGTGGAATGTGGAGAATATAATACCAAAGCTGGAAAATGCTGTTGTGTAGAATTAAACGACTTGAAGAAATCATTGAACTTTTTTCTTTTTTTTTTTTTTTCCTCCTCTCCCCTAAGAATAATTATGACTTCCTCAGCTGCTGGAATATATGGAAACTTTGGTCAGGCAAACTACAGTGCTGCAAAACTTGGCCTTTTGGGTCTTTCAAACACAATTGCAATTGAAGGCCGGAAGTATAACATCCACTGCAACACAATTGCTCCTACTGCTGGATCCAGACTGACCCAGACTGTCATGCCACAAGGTGAATCATTTAAGCTTTACCTGTACTAATATTTTTCAGTGAATTGAAGCACAGCTAACTTTATCTCTTAGAAAACACAAATCCTTTACACTTCATACACTGCTAATTCATTATTCCCACTGTCTTTTTGTCTCTGAACTGACAACTTTGTCTGTTGTAAGGAATTCTTATTTTCTGCCACAAGATAAGAAGCAATTTTTGTAATTCACAAAAGCAATTTCATGTGGCGAGGCTCTTTAATTATAGTCTCTTCCAAGATCCTCTTACAGTAGTGGAAAGGCTTGTTTGTTTCATCAGATGTGGAATCAGGTATGTGCATAAGGTGTCTGCACTTGTTATAATATTGTCTAATTGCAAAATACTGTTTTCTGCACGTCATGCGTGCACTTCTTCGTTCCATGATCAGCAAGAGATGATAATGAACTGAGTTGCCCAATACATTATGGTTTTCTTTATTGCACAGTTACTAATCTTTGAATGCTTGAACAGGTTTTAACAGAGCGCTGCATTGGGAAGTCAGTATAAAGAACGTTCTAGGAGACAGCTGTGTGTAAAGTGTAAATCTAGGATAAATAGAGTAACTAATAACTTTGGCAAATGACCAGAAGAAACAAAAAGAATTTGGAAAAAAAAAAAGCCTGTAAAAGAAAATTAGTCTTAGAAAGTCTTCTAGAATCAGCCTATTTCATTTCCCTCCTGCCCTTCTTTTCAAAGAAGATTTCAAAGCCAGTGGAATCATTACATTTTTCAGACTGATATACAAGATACTGAAGAGTAATATATTTTATTCAGTTATGCATGGATTGAATGCATGATTTTGTTTGACTAATTAAGTTCTGTGTAAAGTATCCTGGTTTAGGTCTAAATAATCCGAGTGATCAGGAAATCTAGCAGCTCTATAGGTTGTAGGTTCCAGGGTTTTATTGCACTTACTTACAGAAGAGTCAAATACATTAAGCTTGCAGCTATGAGTTCCTGAAGCATAAAGGGGAGTCCAGTAGCTGGAATTTCCTGAATATATTTACATAGAGTGATAAAACCACCTCCTAATTTTCTTTCTTAATCATTTTAAGAAGAGTGAGATCCTTTGGTCTTATAGGATAGTTACAGCTCTGATCGTTTATTTCTTACCTTGTTCCCTCCCCCCCGTCCAGTTTTACAAATACTCTTAAAAGGTTTGGACACCAGAACTTTAAAAACATTTTCACGTGTCTTATCAAATTATCCTTGTTATCTTAGTTGGTACTTCCTGTTCATCTTTAGATGTCTGCAAGCACCTATGCTTTAGCATTGCCACAGTTATGTATGTTCAACTTGGCCCACTTATTGTTGTTCTTGCTAGAACTCTAAATGTAGTTTGCATCTCTTATGTGTTTTTTCTTAAACTTCTACCAACTATTTCTTAATAATAGTGGATTAATAGCATTAGTGATAGGAGTCTAGTGCTAATTTTTGAGAGCAAATGGTGTGTGGCATAAAGTGGAATACTATAGAAAAGCCTAAGGCTTTTGTTAGACATTTACAACATGCCATATTAAATCTAGTTCAATTTCCTTTTACCTTTGTGGAACGTCTAAAAAGGAACTTCTGTTACTTCAGATTGGCTATTAAAGAAGCACCTGTAATGCTAAACTTTCCCAGCTCTTCGTCTGTCAGGGTATATTTGAAAATGCTTGCTGACCTTTAGCTGAGGAACAGCTATGTATCTATTGCTGTTGAAAAAATAACTTTGTTTAATTTCCTTTTTCAGCTTTTAGATTATTATTCTTTCTTTTCAGACAGTGGATAGAATATGTGGTAAAAGCTGCCTGGACAACCACACTCTGCTTCATGACAATATCTCCATTTTCAGATAGTTTTCTCTTGTGCCAGATGACAGTGAAAATCCCAAAATACAATTGATACATAAATTTAGCAGGGCTGATAATTCCCGATATCTCATTTGGAAAGACCAGCATTTCCAAATGGAATGTTTCTCAGATATTCAGCATCTACAATTCTTTTCATGTTGTCTTTTCTTCATAACAGACTAGCAAATTAAAAGGGAAATTGCTCGGGTACCTCTCCGTCAGGATTATGTCTACCTGAATTGTCCTTGTTTCAGGCTGCCTGTCAGATGGGAATTTAGGAAGGTACCTGGCTTTGCAGTCTGCATGTTACAGTGTTCCCAACGTTTAGACAGTTTTCATCTGTCTGGCTGAGAACCAGTGTCATTGGGTTTTGAGGCATACACGTGTCTTACGAGTTGTTCGTATTTAATGAATCTTCAAATGTTTCATTTCATTTGTCCTTTCTTTTTATGGCAGAACACTATTGTTTAAATTCTCCCTGGCTCTGCTGTTCATCAGAAGGTGGTAGAGTAAGAATAATTTGGTGAAGTCATACAGTGTTTCTATTTTATGATTCCCCCCACCTCTAATTTGCTCTAGATCTGGTCGATGCTTTCAAACCAGAGTATGTTGCTCCCTTAGTTGTTTGGCTTTGCCACGAGAGCTGTGCGGAGAATGGCAGTCTGTTTGAGGTAATTTTTTTTATTTTCTCTTTCTTCCACCTCTTTCCCTCCCTTTGCCCCTTCCCCCGAAATCAATCATTTGCTTTAGCCTGTCCAGTCTTAACCTTTTTGCTGAAACTGAATTATCATGTGAGATACTACATATTCAGCATAGACAGAAGAAACGTTGACCCTGTTGTGCTGTATAGACAAGTACATCAGGCAGTAAAATTGTCAAATTCTGGTGTGTGTTCAAAATACTGCTGATTTTATTGTTACGATTGTTCAAATGTACAATTGTTGCAATTCTTACTGTACCCTTATAAGTCTGAAAAGGTACCAAAGCAACTACTTCAGAAGAAGTTTTTGTTTTCTAAATCATTCAAACACAGAAACCAACTTGCAGGAAGGATGAATTACTTAGTTATGCAATACATTATAGGTATTCATATCAAACTGCTAGCTCATAAATTGGATGGAAGCTGTTATCTTGTTCTTGGAGTTTTATGTTGCTCATGTTCCAGTGCTTAACTAAACTGTTAAATACAACCAGCAGTAGTGCAGAAATCTTTATTGTGTTGAGTTTGTTCTGAAGTATAGTTTTGTTTCCCTACATTACCAAAACTTTGCTTTGTAACGTGGTAAGCTGAAGTTTTTCTTTTTTCTTGGCAGGTGGGAGCTGGATGGATTGGAAAATGTAAGTACTTTGTGTTGAAGGATTGTCTTTGTTTTTTGGATTGACAACAAAAGCATGCAAATTGTCTTTACAGTTAAGCTCTGCTCAAGACATTTTTATTTAGGAAGAGAAGACTAGCAAAAGCCTAGGGTTCTGAGGAGACTGCTTATTTTAAGTAAAAGTCAAATATTTCACTACACATGGGGGAAACTGGTAACCTAGGTATGTATTTTGTTAGGCTTTTGAGATGACTAATAGTAACTGAAAATCTGCCTAAGTAACCTTAACTCTTGGATCCCGAGGATATAATTGAAGTCAAGAAGAATCTCCATTTTTCGTGCTAAGTATACGTTGCTGCCTTTTCTTGACAACTTTAACTTTTCATGGTATAAAAGTAACACATGCTGGTAAACAGGCTGCTTTTTAGTTGCTTTCCACCTTTATTTATACTTCTATAAAAATACTAGTGATATGCATTAACACATTGAGGCAGTTAGCCTTCTTAATAACCAGTAGCTATGCTAGCTAGGTATTTTCCTTGAGTGACTCCAGTAACTAGCTTAAATATGACTGTAAAGAAAACTTGTAGACAATACTGAGGGCTTACGAGATGGAAAATTTAATTCAGTGTGTGAAATGTCTTAACTTTTTCCCCAAATATGTTGAACCTAATACCAGCATTATTTTCCAGAACTGTTCAAGGACTTTTCAGCCTACATGAATATCACCAGTGGGTTGGAAGTAGGGCCATTAATTCAAGAAGTGGTTCCCCCTTCTTCCAAAACATTTTTTTGCTCACTTGATAAAGATTTTGTACATTTCTAACTAACTGTAAATGTTCTGGTGGCTCTGGAATAGCTTTTCCCAGGTAGTGTATTAAACAGATTAAACAAATTGGGGCAGCAGAGTAAAACCTCTTGCTGCCCTCCACAAGGAGTTGAGTTTTAATACAGCCAAAAATCTGTGGCTTCTCCTCTCTGGTCAAAAGAAAATACCATTTTTCATCATTACAATGGCTGTTGTTGAAGCTTTTAAATGAAACCAGGTTGTTAATAAGGTACCAGTATGGCCTTATTCAATTCATTACCTATTGCTAATAGCAGAACAAGCATGACAGATTAAGGATTAGTTGCAATCCAGGAAGTCTGTATCCTTCCAGAACTGCTTTCACATTAGCCTTACCAGTTTCTCAAGGTACAGTATTGAAATACAGCTTCAGGGACCATTTGGAGATGCTGGCTACTGGTATTAACATTCTTTCATTGGTAACAAGTGGTTTTCACATTTCCACTATAGTTTTCCAAGGCTCTCAGAAGATTCCTAAGCATTAGTAGCCAAAATCATGTCAGAAGAGAATGTCTGTAGATACATACTAGCTGCAACTTTTCACTGTACAGAATCCTAAAACTCATGTATGTTTTCAGAGAGCAATCAGTCTGTTGCGGCTTTAATGAAATTTAAAACCAGTGCTATTCCTTTTCTAAATGTTAGTTAAAAGCAGTGAACCCTTTTAGTCCAGCTTGAAGTTATACTGGTGAGTTAAATTGGAGTACTTTCCTTTCTTGCACTGTCTTGGAAGTAGTGGCCTGGATGAAAGTAATCTAAAGAAACTAAAAGTTTCTTTGTTTGTTACTTGAACTCTCTGGCTCATGTTTCCCCTTAGTGCGCTGGGAGCGATCCTTGGGTGCTATTGTCAGAGGAAAGAATCAGCCAATGACGCCTGAAGCAGTGAGAGATAAATGGGAGAAGGTCTGTGACTTTGATAACGCCAGCAAACCCAGAAGTATCCAAGGTAAAGGAGACTTTGATAATGTGGATAGTTTGGGCAAGCAAAGCTTAGAAGAGAATGCTTTCTTGTCAGATATTTGGTGAAACCTTACTTCAAAAGTCTACAGAACCAGTGAATTCTTTTGTAAACGTGTAACATTAATCATTTACTGTTTCAGTGCGGTGAGATCTTTTTAAGGAAACTTTTGTGTTCTTACTTGTATAATTAAGACAGTTTTATCTTTCTTAAGAGTTTCTAGGGAAGCGACATCACTGTCATTTTATGTATTACAGCCAGACTAATAGTAGTGTTTTATTTGATTGTACCTACATACAGGTAGTAGCAGTGTAATAGAGAGATTGTATTTTCTTTTCAGTCCTGGAATCTTGGTTTTTGGTAGACATTTCCATACCAAAAAGCTCTCTGGTTAAGTCGTTTGGTATAACACAGCAAAGAAGTTCTTCCTTACTGCCTTGTGTTACTGGGTAACATCACCCCCTTGGCTGGTGACCAAGATGACTGTCTTTTCCAATGCTTTGTTTACTTTCTTTGTTCCTTCCCGTTATTTGTTTGTTGGGGTTTTTTTTAGCCAAAATGACTCTGATCTTTCCTACTGCCATACTTCCTTCTCTTTCATCTTCCAAGCTTTCTCTTTGTTGTCTTGTGTCTCTCCGTATTTAGATCCATAGTTGTCATAGTTCATAAATGAACCATACAGACCAATTTTCCTGACTGCTTTCGAAGATTTCTCAAGATGTTACCTTTAGTTTGTTAGTGTGAGTTACATGTGCTTAGTATCACTGATGGTTGTTTTGTTATTATGCATGTCATTATTTAGGTCAAAGATTGAGTATTTGTCAAATTAGGAAATGCCAGCATTTAAGTGTTGGGGGAGGAGGGAAAGAGGCATCCTTATGTAGAAAGCCAGTTGAATTTCAAAGATACTTAGATACACAGTAGATGTTTAAGCTGTTGGTCCTGAAATCCATTATGGCATTTCATTAAAACCTAGGGATATGTTTTTAGATGCCTAAACCAAAACCAGAATAGGAGATACTTTGTCCTTTCCCTCAGATCTTGGTAGAGGAATGTAACCAGCCATACAGTATCACCTTACTGACTGTTTTCGCTGATCTTTTGCTTACAGATGTCCCATTTCCAAATGTATGTCAGTTTATAAATGTTCTCTGTCCTGCTATGGAACGGTATTTATAACAACATAATTCCAGCTTTATAGCTTCTGATCTGTTCTCCAAGCTGTGCATGTACTATGTTACTTTTATGGGTTGCTAGCAGAAAAATGTTGTAGATGGGAATTTCTTTTGAAAGTTGCTTCATCATTACATATGATATTCCATATCTGCCTCTTGATGCTATTGGGAGAAAAAATTGGACAAGATTTTGGACTTCTGAAGTAAATGTGCTTACAATACAACATAGCACGTTTCTATAGTCAGGAAATTGTAAATACGAAAAATCTTGCATTAATTTTTTTTTATGTGAGAATCAGCAGAAGGGTTGAGGAAAATTCTGAAGAAGTTAGCTGAATAGAATTTTCAGTTGTATATTAAAAGCTTTTTTTACTCCCAAAGTTTCCACTTTGTTGCTTGAAGGTATTCAACTGTGAAATAGGGGAAACTAATTAGAGTACTTGCATTAAAAATGAAAAGCTACAATACCTAATATCTGCAAGTTAAAACTCTCCCATAAGATTTCATTAATTTAAGTAATTTGATGCTGTGAAGAGCAATCGTGTACTAACCATTATGTATAATTATAAAAAAATACCAATTAGATAAAGTATTTGCTTGTTATATAGTAGAAAATCCCATAATCAGAGACGTTAATCTTGTTTCATAATTTGGGCATACTGATAAGAGCAGTTTGACTTTATTTGTTCTAGATTACAAAACATCTGTTGGTTGGTTGGGGTTTTTTTAAAGGTAATTTTTCTTACATGTGGAACAATCATACATAACTGAATACTTGGATTCATGTTGTACTTTTTTCTAACACATAGAATTCTCTTTTTTGCAAGCATAGGGGGAAGTTATTCTCTTAAAAATAAATAAATTAAATTCTCCACAGGTAATGTCTGAATGATCATGCATTTAGAGCCCTGCCTAGCAAAGCACTCATTTGATGTTTAACTAGAGCATGTTCATAGTTGTGTATTTTAGCCAAGGTTGTTCTGCTGGAGATGCTGAACTCTTGAAGACTAAATGGAAGTACTGTCTCATCTTTATTTTTTAGTGGTGGTCTTTTAAGAAATTAAAACATTGAATTATTTTTCTTAAAACCAGTTTAAGTAAAAAGATTAGAATTTTTCTTTCCTTCTTTTTTTGACTTTTTTTAAGCACTTCTTCAGTTTGTAGGCTTAACTTGTTCTTTTGGCACATAAACTGAATCAAGGTAAAAAACTCTCACTTGTGTATCAGAATATGATTTTATAGGGTTTGTGCAATTTTAATTAATAGGAAATAGCTAATCGTCACTTGATTTGGCAGTTGATGTTAATTCAGTAACTCATTGAAGTTTCTCAGATACCATGATAATGTAGTCAGTAAAGAAATCTTTTTTGGTAGTTACCCTACATCTTTCTAGATGAGCAGTACAGTTGATTGCGCAGTACATTTTTTTGCCCAAACTCCTCCCCTTACCCCAAAAGCTATCTGACACAGTCAGTGTGACTGTGCCTGCCTTTTCACTTTCCTTTTAATGCCTCTTGTCTTTGCATGTTCTCTGTAGTTATTCCCTAAGCTTTACAGGCTTAGTCCTTAATGTACTTGGACAAGTTCTGGCAGTTCCTCTGTATTCCCACACAGTTTCAGGTATAGTCCTGTTAACTAGTAAAAGATAACGTGCATTCTCTACACAATGTCTTTTTAACAGCAGAAAAATCTGAGAACAGACTTTCTTAAGAAGCTGTGTGAGAATTTAGGCCTTAGGAAGTTGAAGAAGTGGAAGAGGTAGTTTTGCTGGCATGTATTCTCCTACTTTTCCTTTACCAGGAGTGAAAGGTAACCATCTACTTAATGCAACATGAAAATGTCACTGCCTCTGAGGCAGCAGTGAATCTGCAGTGACTTATGTATTAGAGCCTTTTCCTAATTTGCATTATGATGTTATTTTCTTACTAATGGTTAAACTGAAATAATAGTTTTAGCTTCCTTTATACCACTTCGGAACAAGCTAGAAATCTGTCAAGAAGATACGCAGGGCATAATCAAAGCCTTAAGGTTAGGACGCAGAATCAACTTACAGTGTACATCAGTGAGTCACTGTAATTGGCTCCCTGTATGCCCTTAGGCAGTAGCAATTGCAGAATAATGTGACTTGGCATAACAAGTACTAGAAAAGAATTGCTCAGGCTCTCTTTTGCAGCTGGATCTAGTGAGCTGACATATTTGTCATGGTAACATGATTCCGTGTTTTGAGATACTGAGAGGTCCTGGGCCCCTGTGCATAAGCAGAAGGGCCAAATCGAATGTGTTATAGGAGCTTCTGAATGTGTGGTGCATGTGCAGTAAGTCATAGTTGCACATTGCACTGCATGTTGGCATGTTGTCTCCTTATATTCCCTCTCAGACAAAGCTAGATCCAGTAGCCCTTGCCTCCACAGTGCACTACTTGCTCCTGTGTCCTAGTCCGATTCTTCCTGTTATGTAAAGGGAGAAATCAAATTGTGTTGTGAGATAAGTGAAGGACAACCATCCCTGTCTTGCAGATTATATACTGTATACAGCATTCTGTAGTATGTATTGCACAGGTTAGTATGTTTAGTTGTTTTGTTTTCTAGGAAAACAATTAATTATGCCTGTCACCCATATAAGGCAATCTCTCTGTGTCTCGATTTCCTCCTTGATTTTGAAGATAGAAGCCAGTTTCAGCTAAATCTAGTCTTTTAGAGGTCTGTAATCTGCTGTCACGTTCACGTGCATTTTTAATTCTCTTAGAAGCTGTGTAGGTACAGCAAACAACTTGAGTATTCTCACTGGCTGACTTTTGGCACATTTCAAAAGCTTATCTCTGGTGTAGAGCAAATTAATATAAAACACGTATGTATGTATACTTTGTGTGTATATAAACAAAAATTTTGCATAAGAAGACTGTTCCAGCTTCAATTTCAGCTTTCTGCATATGTGTTTAAAAAGGGTTTAAACACTGGTGCTGTTTCCTCCATAGTTAAGGGGTATGGTTCACATGCAATGTTCCCTAATTGGAAAGTGAGACGAATAACTTTTGGAGAGAGACAGGCTTTGCCATGACTATTTTCAACCTTTGCTCTTTAGGTCAATCTTTCCCTTCTGTCTGCTAATCATTTGCTCTATAATAGCAGACCATGCTGGGGTAGTGGACATTTAAGGTTTTAGAGTCCACTGACAGCATAACAACTTAAAAAAAAATCCCAAAACCAATATTAAAAATAATTATATTAATGAAAAGTTTTCCTACTGGGTTTGTTTCTGCCAAAATTATACCCTTCGAGCTATTTCTTGGATCTTAGAAGAACCTTACTCAGCTTGTAGAGTCATGTATTAAGAAGTACAAATTGTCATAGTTAAGTCTACTGCTGAAATGTTAATTTCAGACATCTTTGTGTGGTTACATGACTGAAAACTCATGTACCACTCTGTGCTTCCCTCCCCACCTCTTTTACTTTCAGTACTCAAAATGAATGCAAAATAAAGACTGTTGAAACCATCCTTAGCAGTGTCCAAACCTCACTTATCAGTGATCTTTTGTAATTTTTCATCTTTCTTTTTTGGCAATCTTATATTGCATTGTTAGCTCATAACAATGTATTTGATCATAACGTTTGTACTTCTTAATGCAATAATCTAATTTACTCTTTCTTTGGAGGTGTAACCCTGCCTCACGTGAAAGATCGTATCTGGTCAACTGCTAGAATATTACTGTAAATCTAATGCTATACTAGTCCAGTTTCTTATGCCAGGCAGCAGAAAAGCAATGAAGACTGAAATAAATTAATATGTTGAGACATTTCAGTTGCATGCTGCTCTAGCAGTCCCTGGAGGATGAAGGGAATGTGTCAGCCCTGGCGTTCTTAACTGGAAAAGTTCTGTAACGTAATAATTCAGGGGGAAAAAAGAAATTAACTTTTTTCCCCTTTATTTAAAAAACAAAAAAAAAGAAAAAAGGTTTGCTGCCTGTATTTGGTGATATTCTAATAGCTTGCGTAAGCTTTTCAGGCAACCCAAAGGGACGGCATCTTAAAAGTAGCTTTGGTATTAAAGGACGAAAACCACCTTGAAACATAAAGCATAACATACACTTTCTGCTGAAATTTGGGCCTAGAACCATAGACTTATCTCATGCAGTTCATGTCTGTCATAGATATAAAGAAATAAACCCAGGAGTCCTTGAAAGAACATTCCATCCTTAAAGACAGCTTTTTCTGCATACCTATGCTTTGAAAATCAGTAAAAATGTTACTAAATCATTCTGGTATGATCCAGGTCAAGTGCTGTTGCTGATTACAAATATAACAGTAGTCCAAAGTTTAAAAAAAAGAATTTTGGTGGGGCCTTTGATGTTCAGGATGAACAACAACACATCTCACATTTTAAAAAGGGTAGAAAGGAGGACCCTGGGAACTACCGACCTGTCAGCCTCACTTCTGTGCCTGGCAAGATCATGGAACAAATCTTCCTAGAAGCTATGCTAAGGCACATGGAGGACAGGGAGGTGATTCAAGACAGCCAGCATGGCTTCACCAAGGGCAAGTCCTGCCTGACCAACCTAGTGGCCTTCTATGATGGAGTGACATCCACATCAGTGGACAAGGGGAGGACTACGGATGTCATCTATCTGGACCTCTGTAAGGCCTTTGACATGGTCCCCCACAACAACTCTCTAAACTGGAGAGCTATGTATG